GCATATGTACATATACACATAATCTTTTTTTCTGGACCATTTGAAAAGACGTGCTGCCTCCTGACTCATATAAACAGTTTGTTCTTTCCTAAAACCAAAGACATTGTATTGTATTTACTACAGCACAATTATTAAAATCAGGATATTAATATTAATGGTATATAATCTAATCTATAACTGTTTTCAAGTTCCACTACTTATAATAATGTACGTTTTTAGCAAAAGAAAAAACACGGAGCTGAAATCTATAGAGTGGACTGGAATGGAACTGCCAACTAGAAGTTTTTTAAAAACTTTCTTCATATGCAGCTCATTGAATTTTTAATCACCAAAATAATATATTTATTATGCAGCATGCCTGGGGTGCATGAAGATTAGATTCAAGAATCAATTTCATCCAATTACTTAATCTCAAATATGGGTGCTTTTACACTGTGAAACTATTAATCACTCTTTTAGGAATAGAGAGAGGGCCAACCAAAAAAAAAAAAAAAAAAAAAAAAAAAAAGTCATAAGGGCCTGAATATCTTTCAGGCTAAAAGTGTTCTCTGTTTACTTTTTCTTTGATCATGGAAATCCACAGGCAGCCATAAAAATTTTACTGGAGCTATAATTATTTGAAACTTTCAGGGTGTCTCTAAAGCACTTTATAACAACCTCAAGTATCATAACTTGATATTATTTCTGCTTTTCTACTTATAATGAAAACAAGAGTTGTGAGTCCTATTCATCATTTCCACATGAAAAAACAGTAGAAAAAATGGTGTGTTTATTCACCTAGAAAATGCCCAGCTGGGGTTTATTAACCACATTTTAGTTACTCATCTTTATGACTCTCAAATAGAGATAAGATAAAATCACAGAGACCTCCCAGATGACAGGTTCAGCAAGGCCACTGGATATGAGGGAAGCTGGGGTATTCTGTGGTTGCTTTATGGCCAACAACAGATTATCTGTGTTCAAAGTATCTGTTTTTGGAATTTTTAGTAAATTAAAACCTACAGTCAGTTTCACAGCACTATCCATGATCTAATTGGCATATCTTCTTAATACTGAACTATGAAGATATCAGTCCCTGCAAACTCACATTTAAGATAAGCCCTATGTATTTAATATATACATGTAATGATACATATACATATGTATATATGGCTTACTCATTTTACCTAATTATCATCTATCTATCTATCTATCTATCTATCTATCATCTGTCTTTAAAAACAGTCTGCTCTGTGATGGAGGGAAGTGGGTGGGGGTGGGTAAGATAGGTGATGGGTAGTAAGATCACTGGTGATGAGCACTGGGTGTTGTAAGTGATGAATCACTGAATTCTATTTCTGAAACCAATATTATACTCTATGTTAACGTACAGATAAATAAATTTAAAAAACCAAAAAAATAATCATAATAAAACAGTCTGCTCTAAGCAACTTCAAGGAACCATATGCCTTGTTAAGACATGAGCACAAAAGGAGAGCCTGGGTATCTCAGGTGACTGAGCATCAAGTGACTGACTCAGGTCATGATCTTGTGGTTGTGGGTTCGAGCCCCCTGTCAGGCTCTGTGCTGACAGCTTAGAGCCTAGAGCCAGCTTCAGATTCTGTGTCTCCCGGTCTCTCTGCCCCTCCCCTGTTCATGCTCTGTCTCTGTCTCTCTCTCTCTCAGAAATAAATAAACATTTAAAAACAACTTTTTTAAAGACAGGAACACAAAAAGAGTATAAGGGATCTTTGGTCATCGGAAGATCACAGTCTAGATGGGATAATTGATCTGTGAAGATATAAACCATAAACCATCAGTAGGTCTCTAACATATGTCTGAACTAAATGCCATGACATCATGAAGATGTCTTGGTCAAGATGTCTTGGATTTATCTCAGAAAGTTTCAGAGAAGGAGGTGACACCTGAGCTGTCAAATCTTGATGGCTGAAAGGAATCTTTCAGGAAAAAAAAGGTTGGGAAGAATGTTTATATATAAAAAGCTAAGGAGATATCTATCTATATGTGTACAATAGATAATGCATCGACATATAGAACTATAAATAGAAAGAGATGCAGATATGCACATATATACCATACATACATGCATGAATATACTATTTAAGTGAGAGGTGATGGTGACTAGTCATGAGAAGCTCATACATTTAATGTATTTATAATTTGCAGTTAAAACTCTCTTTTAGAGGGTAGAGAAAACCTAAAAGGCCCAAGGTACAGGTTAAGTAAAGTTAAGTACTCTTTGATTTCATGACTTCTCCTGGAGAGCTTAAATAATGCCACAGTCTCTTCTAAACTGTGTCTTATGCATTGGTCGCTATGGTCTATCATGTGTTCTAATACACTGGCCACAGCTGATTGTCACAGGAATATGCATCACACCCAGTACAACCAACCCGTGAATGGAAGACGTGCTATTAATTGGCCGAGCACAAGAGAACTGGCCCATACGAGATGGTGAGAGATGAATCACCTTGCATCTCTCAGCTTCTTTTTCTCTGCTATCAGCATTTTGCCTCCTCTGTACAGCGTCTGGCCAGAGACGAAACGCAAAGGTGAAGCCATGAGATGGACAGAGAAGCCATGAGTCAAAGAGACCTTCTGAGTCAAGCTCTGACTTCATCTCACATGCCTTTCCTCCCTCACCTGTCTGCAACTGCATGTTACCAGGCCAGGCATCTGCCTTCCTCGGGGACTCTGCACTTGCTGTTCCCACTGCCTGTGGTGCTTCTTTCCCAGTACGGCTCATGCCCCCCTTTTTATTAGGTCCTCTGACCATGCCATCTTTTTGGGGTGAAAGGGGGCATTTCTGGACATCCATACCTAATATTCTACCCTCCACACATTTCAAAAACCCTTTCCTGGCTTCATTATTTTCCCCTTGGTGCTTATCACTGTGGGACATATTACGGCTTTCCTTTGCATCCATCGTTTTGGTTTTTTTTTTCTATTTTCTCTCCATCTTGCACTAGAACATTAGCCGCCTGAGTGCAGAATCTTGTCTGCTGTGTTCACTGCTCCATCCCTAGCTTAGGCTAGAGCCAGACACTTGGGGGCACTTGGGCAAGTAATTCTTCATCCCCTGCTTGCCCCAGATCAATTTTCAGCCCTCTGTGCCCTGCTCTGCCCTGTGTACCTTGGAGGTAAACCCCTGTGAGCCGCATCCATCATTAGATGGATGGCTTCTGGGTGCTTCAGCCAATGGGAGGCCCTAGGAAGACGTGTGGGGAGGGAGGAGAGAAGGACTGTGGTACTCCTCCCTGCCCTATCACTGCTTCAGTCCTTCATCCCCAGCAGGAGCTGCATCCCTCTGCAGCAGGAGCTGCATCCCCCTGCAACTACAGAGTGCCTGCCAGTGCTCTGTTCCTCCTGTGAAAGCAATCTCTCCTAATTCCTTCCACTGTGAGGGTGTAATGGCTTCCTGCTGCTCCTAATCTCTGGGTACTATATCCTTTCTCAATTTTTACTTGTAACTGTGCCCACATATCATTAAGTGGACCCTTCATTAAAATCTTTTCATTTGTACCATCTGTGATGAGCTCTCTTTCTTGCCAGGCCTCTGCCTGATAAAGAACTCAATAAACACTTGTTGAAAGACTGTTGAACGGAGGAAAAGTCTTGGCATCCCTTGAAAAGTTGATGGATTGGCTTTGGCACTGGAACTGCCACTGGAGAGACCCTAGAGGAGAGAAGCCTACATGTCAGCGGTGGGGAGATACTCCTGGAACATCCAGCCAAGCCCTGAATGTGTACACGTAATGCAAGAGCCACTGGTTGAGGAGTAAGGAAGCCAATCCACAAGCTACTTTTCTTCATTATGCCAATCATTTCACCTAGTTCTTTTGTATGTCACCTGAACATGTTTGTGCGGATAAAATGACACTGTTTGAAACAGATCATAATGCTCACAGAGTGCGCTGGCAGAGGGTGAGAGGCGATTAAATAATTGTTGAATTCCAATTCACTGTTTGACTAATTTGCTTGACCTGCTCACCTACAAATGTAACAGAAACTTCACGGAGATGTTATAAATGTAAAGATAGGACTTGTGTAAAGTGCTTATCACAATGTGTGACACAGTATTTGCTCAATAAATGCTAGTTTCTCCTCCTTTTCTTTCTGGTTTCATTTCTCTCTTTTGTTGCCTCTCTCCTTATGGCACTGCCTCAAATAAAATCGGATCAGAGAGATTTAATTCTGCTGAAACCTTTAAATTCTCTGATTAAAAAAATCTGTACGGTAATGTTTCTGGTGAGGAAAAAGAAGGAATTTATTACCTGGTGGACATTCAGACATCCAGGTACAAGAAGTTAACAAGAAAAAAGACAGGGAGTCTGTGAAGAGGCTGAATAGTCACCCTCCTGACATAAGACCAGAAAGGTCTGCCCCGTGTGGTACAAGCAACTTGCTACGCTTGATTGCTTGGCAAGTTAAGCAATATTCCACAACAGTACAGTTACATACCACTGGATCAAAATTGAGCCCATTTCAAGATATTGAACAAGAGAAACTTGGCTGCTTTTCTTTGCCATAGGGGAAAACAGAGGGGCCTTCTTGGAAGATTATTGGTGTGAAATCCTTAGTTATAGCTTTAAAATTTACCACTTTATGTGCCTGTTAGGACATACAGATGTATTTCCACTCCAACATATAACTTCCCCCTTGTCTTTTTTGTTTATAAAGCAAAGAGCATGCTGCAAACGTAGGAGAACATTAGAGGTTTTGCTTCCAAAAAACTTAACACACTACAGGATGGAATAAGAGAACTGAATACACTTGCAAAGAAAATGCTGTGTTTAAATATATACATATCCTGTAAGCCCACTCATAGGCGACAGCATCCCAATGACCATGCGCATGTGAGTGCTGTGTTGATTTTCTTGTGCTCCTGTACCCCTTTTGTGCTAGAGAAATGGGACTCATCCAACAAATTATAATGGGATGACTACCTTTTCTGCCTCCGTTGCCATCATGGCACCTGGGGAGGGGTACTTGTGCCAAAGATGGGGGCAAAACGAAAGAATCAATTTCTGAAGTTTACACTTGACTGCACGCACGCTGTAGAAGATGGAATCACGGATGCTGCCAATTTTGAGCAGTTTCTGCAAGAGAGAACCCGAGTAGATGACAAAGCTGGTAATCTCCACAGAGGGATTATAACCACTGAAAGAAGCAAAAGCAAGATTACTGTAACTTCTGAAGTGCCTTTCTCCAAAAGGCATTTGAAGTTTCTCACCAAAAAATACGTGAAGAAAAATCAACATGATTGGTTGCGCGTCGTTGCTAACAGTAAAGAAGGTCACAAGTTGCATTACTTCCAGATTAATTAGGACAAGGAAGAGAAGGAAGATAAGGATTAAAACTCATTTACTAATAGGGCACCTTGGTGGCTCAGTTGGTTACATGTCTGACTCTTGGTTTCTGCTCAGGTCATGATCTCACAGTTTCGTGAGTTCCAAGCTCTGCATTGGGCTTTGGGCAGACAGCACGGAGCTCAACTGGGGTTCTCTCTCTCCCTCTATCTCTTCCCCAACACCGCTCATTTATTATCTCTCTCTCTCACTTTCTCTGTCTCTCTCTCTCTCACTTTCTCTCTCTCTCTCAAAATAAATTAATTAATGTTAAAAAACTCATTTACCGGAAATATTTTGTATGAATTCTTGAAAAAAACTTGGGGATAAATAAATATACACAGATATTGATCGCTGTATCTCTGTAGCTGCTTAATGAAGCTGGCATGACTGTAGAGCAAAAAACCAGCTGTGAACCTGAAGGCCATGGGGACAACAATGAAATAGTTTAATCCCTTGCAAAACACCACAAAACAAAACATAACCAGAAAATGAGAACATCCCAAATCTCAACCTTCCCTTGGGTCCTGCAGAAATGTTTGCCATGCTGACTCCATGCTGGTGCTGTCTTTAATCGTGGGCTATCGTCGCCAAACACTCACACTGCAAGAGTCAGCACGCCAACATCTTCATGACACCAACTCCAGACCTCGGGGAGAATTAACACCCATACAGGCTTATTCACAGACCCTGTCCGACTCTTTATGGCACTCACCAATTTATGCTACTCTATTTAACCAAACTATGAGCCACGTGAAGGCAGCAACCATGTTGTGATATCACTGAGCCTTCCATGCCCAACCACTAATTCTCTCAGGAAAGCCTTCCAAACTCCCCTGACCATGATCCAGCTCTCTGCTTCACACCAAAGTACAGCATGTATGTAACACACTGCTATCACTGCCATCATTAATATTGCCTTTGGGTGATCATTTGAGGGTTTCTGTCACCAAACATAAGTTCCATGATGGCATTTGGGCACCTTTGTTTCCATGAAGTCTAAAAGTAATGATTTTTAAATGAATGGATAAATACATAAATCTGAAATGTCCTTATTATTTAACTGTCTAGTATTTTTGTTGAAAAAATTAGTCTGTGGTACTGTGGTATCTTGATAAATTATAAATTGTCTCTACCATATTCTCTGCTTGTCTGGAAAAAGAAAAGTAGCCATTACTGAAACATACACATGCATAGCATCCCAGAACAAAAAACCAGTACCATGAAAAACAAGTAAAGGAAATTGAGGTTTGCCATATTTAATTCTGATAGGCATAAAAAACAGATGTACAGGCTAAGGGACAAGTCATATGGATTAACACATGCTCTGACATGTAGGGTTGTTGACAAATGAAGCAACTGAAATTAAAATATTCATTTATTTTGATAGACAGGTGCCAACATTACTCTGAAAAGGTACCAGTGTGTTCTATACACATGCGCACACATATACACACACGTGTTCCTTACCCCTTACCACTATATTTAGTCTAAGATTTATACAAGCTATTGTAGAATAAAAATGATCTACTCTACACATTAAAAGTAAGGATTCTTGGGGCGCCTGGGTGTCTCAGTAGATTAAGTGTCTGACTCTTGCTTTCGGCTCAGGTCATAATTTCACCATTCGTGTGTTCAAGCCCCACATCAGGTTCTGTGCTGACAGCCCGGAGCCTGCTTGGGATTCTGTCTCCCTCTATCTCTGTCCCTCCCCTGCTTGCTCTCTATCTCCCCCTCTCTCTCTTTCAAATAAATAAACAAACAAATAAATAAATACACATTAAAATTTTTTAATAAAAAAGTAGATTCTTTAGGCAAAAGTTATATAAGATTGTCACTAAAACTACTCATTAGACAACAAATACTTAGTATCTATTATGTGTTCTTTCTCTATGATAAGATGTCAGAGAAGAAATCAACTGCAAAAGACATAAGAGGTAACACATACAAAATAAATTTCACAGAGTTAAGACAAGGTAGTGATTATTTTTTTTGTAATGGAATTACGGCGAGCAGAATGTTCTATTAAGAGTGAAATTTAATTAGGAATTTGGATGTTAAGTAGAATTTTGATGGATGGAAGTGCAACTAAGGTGAAGGAAAGAGACAGCTATTCCAAAAAAATTCTAATATCATAATTAAAAATCTAAAGATCTGCATGGACTGTGACATATTGAGAAATACATTGTTTTAAAGGCTGGCATTGTGGGGTTGAAACTTCAGCATAGTCTAGCTTGTCCTGACTCGCACAAGAGTGGGACTTGGACATCAAAAGCCTGGTGCCTGAGCCAGTGTTCCTAATCCCAATGTTCTGTGGCCTCCCTTAGTGGTACAAGGACTCACCCTAGGCTCTCAAGTGCCAACCACATTATCCCTTGACAGCCACTAAATCATTTTGGCTTACAATGTTGTCCCTTCCTGAGTTCTTTATCCATAGCAGCATGAGTAATTATTGTGTTTAAATAAGGGTCCCTTTCTTGGGATCTTCTGGTGAGTATCCATATTCAATATAATTTTAAATATTGGGTAATTACTGAGAAGTCGTCTACTTTTTTCCCAAAACTCCTTGTCATGAATCTCTAAAGTCTATATATTTGTTCATTGAGCCAAATATCACAGAGTGTTTCTCTCTGCCCCTACATAGCAGATCCTGGCCATGCCCTGCTCACATCCTGGTGTCCGTATTATCTCAGTGCACACCATCAACTTCCAATTACCGAATCCTGCTTTCTTTTCCTTCCTTAAGGGCTTTCTCTTGCAGCTGGAGTATGCTTCGTCCCCCAACTGGATGGCAGATTTGACCTTAATTATCATAAAGAACTCATTACAGAATGGGGCCAAATATATGTGTTGAACTCAGGGAATTCACTGAATGTTTCTTGGTGCTTCTACGCCTGGGGATGAGACTAAATGTGTGACTGCAAGAGTTTCGGAGGCGCGCCTGGGTGGCTCAGTCGGTTGAGCGTCCGACTTTGGCCAGGTCATGATCTCGTGGTTCATGGGTTCGAGCCCCGCGTCAGGCTCTGTGCTGACAGCCAGCTCAGAGCCTGGAGCCTGTTTCGGATTCTGTGTCTTCCTCTCTCTCTGACCCTCCCCTGTTCACGTTGTCTCTCTCTCTCTCAGAAATTTAAAAAAAAAAAAAAAAGTTTCAGAGCTTGAAGCCTGGCAAGGGCATGGTAACCAAGGGTTCTGATAGCTAAGGAAGAAGTTCTGAGGCTCTACTGGGTGAGAAATCAGCAGAAATGTCAGGCAAGAACGAGGAATACATGAAATGTGTAGAAGAAAAGGAAGACAAGGAATATCAAGTGCAGCCTTAAGACCAACTGAAGCCAACTGTGGCTTATCCCATGACCCTTCCTGCTTTAAGTATTTTATTTAATTAATAAGTTGCACCTGGCCACCACCTTGAAGCATCAACATAGGACAGAATGAAACTGACACAGTGCACCAGGGACAGGAGTGGTGCACGGGTTAGACTATAGTAGGCTATTTCGGTGCCCCCCACCATCTCACACTTTCTACTTTAGTGCCACTGTCAGTACCTGCCTCCTCCACCCAAAGGCTCCCTGTTGCTCCTGGAGGTTGCTTTGCTGCCAACATGGCAAACTGGAGTTGTCAAAGTATTTAAAACAAAACCCTGGGAATAGCCTTCTATCAGTCCGATTGACTGGAATCTGTCTACCTTTTCCCAGTGACCTCACTCTTTTTATAGAATAACTCTCTAACTCATATGCTCTACATTGATTCCTAAATTCCCTCCGTGAGTTAATCCCCATTTATCCATGGCTGTAACTGGCTCAGTAACACAGTCTTCATGGGTTGCATTCCCTTCTTTGCCTATCTTCTTCAATTTCCTATGGGCATTTTCTGCCATCCCCCACATAAAATGCTTTCACTCAAATCTTTGACATAAGTTCAGCTTCTGGGGAGCCCAAACTCAAGCAGCCTGGCACTTATCATTTGGTCATACTGTTGGCTTTTCCCCAGGACACAGAGTAGATTTTTGCTTCAGATGAACAACCCTCCCAGAAAATGTGGACAAGAAGAGAGCAGATAGAAGGCTCCTGATTTCACTGGCAGGAATTCCCTCCTCTCCTCCCTCCTCTTCAAGCCCACCTGTGAACTGGGCTGCAATTTCGTGCCAGTCGCTTTCTGGCTGCTCCTGGCATATTACCTAAATCCTATGAGACAGAAACCATAATTATTTTTCCTTTCTTAGATTCTTTTTCAGACATTAACTAGTTCATAGATTCTACCTTCCTCAAAATCTCACAAAACAATTGTATGACATCCCTCACCTGTAACCTCATCCTTATGGCACGTTAAATGTATCAGTATAGAAAGCAGATCAATCAACTGTATCGACAGGCTCTGCCTTCCTCTCATATGGTCGGAACTGAGCCACACACTTCAGACCTTGAATCTTATAATCAACATTAACTGCCAAGGATGAACACTAGACCCAAGCTGGACAAACCCAATTCTCTCCCCTATACATTCTGAGTTGGGACTTACAAAACCTAGTTCATGAAATGGGAAGCTCGCCTGGGAAAACCTTTTTTAATTATATGCATAGTTAAGAAAAGAAAGATAAATCCTAGGAGACTGAGAATGAGAAGAATAAAGCCTACCTGCAAGAGAAAGTGGAGATGATGCAACTAGAGGTTTAGAGAAAGTAATCTTATTTCTAACAGCTTCTTAGTGCCTACTTCTAAGCTTTGATGTGGTCCTACAATATTTTTTTTTCTCCTGGAGCTACAGATCCCACTGCATCTTACAACAATGTTCTCTCTTTGGCCTTAAGTTAACTTGAGGGATTTTCCAGTTATTTGAAACCAAAAGAACTTTGGTTAAAACAAGCACACTTGACTCCGAGCTCAGGGAGAAGGGAAACCATCACTTCTTTTTGATCCACAGTGTATCTAACACAGTACTTGGCACACAGCAGATCTTCATTAAGTGTCAGTCAGAAAAAAATC